TCCAATAACCTTTTCTGTCTTTGTGCATCATCCCGAGTGAAGAGCCAGCTGCTCTAAGCACTTCATCCTCTGTCCGTGGCTTTCCAATACAATGACCTATTCTTTTGCATCCACGTACTCTTGCTTGCGCCGCTCTCGTCTCGGCTTTCTGTGCTCCCACTTGTTGCGTCTCTTTTCATCTCTCGTCTGTCAATTTGCTCCCTTTGCTCTATACGTTTCATTTCCGCTCGCGTGCAATTTCCAAAGCCATCTGCTCGGCTTTGTTTGCTCTCTTGCGTCTCCATTTAAGGACAAGCTTTCACTTTCAACCCTTTCTCTTAATTTGTCTTGCCTGACCTTTCTTGCATCTCCGCTCCCCTCCAGCTTTTGGTCCCATTTCTCTTCACCGTCTCTCCATCTGCAGGAGGTTTTTGTTTTGTTTTTTTAAACTTTTTTTTTCCTCTGACAGCAACTCAACGATGATCAAATCTGAGTTAAAGAGAGCGCAGAAGTCAAACAAACCAGAGAGCTTCATGCAGGCGGTGGATTATAACTGATAGATGCCCTTTTTTAGGCCGAGCAGAACTCTGCATTAAAGGCTTTACAGTTTTCCTGGATGGCATGCAGCGAGATGTCAAAGTGACAGTGGAAACATGCACACATGCAACATGCACACAGCGGATTAGTAACGACAGCCACCACAACGTCAATGTTCCCGAACGTCCACGCCGGCCAGAGCATCATGAATGCAGCCAGAGAGAGACGTCCACGGCCTGATCTGTCCACCTAAATACCCGCTGACCTGCTTTCTCTAAGCTCCGGCCTCCCCGCTGACCAACTTAATAGAAAAGACATTTTGTGGGACAGTTACGTGAATGAAGACAAACAGGCAGATAGACCTTATTGGAAGCTCTGACCTCGCCGCCTCTCCGTGTCCATCGTGCGCTGGGAGGTGTGGGAATATTGGAATTGGAAATCAATGCGTGTTTGTGTTGCGATGGGATGAGGCAACGATTTTCAGCTCTTTATCTTTTTCAGCCTTGTTCCCTTCCTTTTCTCAGAGGTAATCACTGCCGTGTTCGTCCTGTCCTCATCTGGCCCCATTATTTTTCCTATTTTCCCGTCACTCAAAAGAAAATACGCAGAATTTCAAACATGTCTGGAAAATTGTAGTCCAGTAAAAGTGCTGTTATTTGTGTAAAAACTGTATTCAGGTAATCAAGCAGTTCATATTTCAGTCATCATTCTATACAAACACACTCATGAACAGAAGAGCTGCGACGATTACTCGATTAATTATCTGCTATTGAATTAATCGCTAGCTTCTTTGATCAATCAATGATTTGATTTGAGTCATTTTGAAAGAAAGAAAGTCCAAATTCTCTGTTTGCAGCTTCCTAAATATGAACATTTTCTGGCTTCTTTCCTCCTCTATGATAGTAAACTGAATATCTTTGAGTTGTGGACATTTCAGGATGTCATCTCAGGCTCTGGGAAACACTGATCAATCATTTTTATGATAATGAATTAATCTGTTTGAGTAATTCTTCAGGAAAAAAAGTCTCAATTGTCTGATTCAAACTACTTAAATGTGAATATTTTGTGGTTTCTTTCCTCCTCTATGACAGTAAATAGAATATCTTTGAGTGCTGAACTTCATCTTGGGCTTTGGGAAACCCGAATCAACCAAACGTCAGATGTTTAATTGATCAACAACAATTCTGGCAATCAATGAATAGTTTTTAGCATTTTTTTTAATGGGAAAAAAAAAGTCTGATTTCTGTTATTTCAGCTTCTTCAATTAAATATTTCATCCTCTGTGAGCAAACAGTGAATATTTTGGACAACAAGACCAAACAGCTGATCGATTAATTGACTATTTGTCAACTGTTAGCAACTATTTTGAGAATTAATCAATCAGACTGCGAAAAAATAAATAAAAATTCTCTTATTCCAGCTACTTAAATTCAAACACTTTCTGGTTTCTTTCCTCCTCTGAGACAATAAACTGAATGTTGTTGGGTTGCGGACAAAACGGGAATTTTGTGGACAACATGTTTTTACCATTGTCTGACTTTTTAGAGACCAAACAAGTAATTGATCGGGAAAATAATTAACAGATTAATCTACCGTGATAGTAATTATTAGTTGCATTACTAATCAAATCAACAAACCATTGGCCTTTTAAATATAAGTTGCTAACCATTATCTGCATATATTGTTTTTGATTAGCAGTAGTATAATCATTTAGTCTAGAAAATGTCAAACAAATGGTGAAAAGTGTCCGTCAGTTTTCCAAAACATCAGCAACTGTCTTTTCTGGTCTGAAAAACCATCTAAAACCCCAAGATGTTGAGAGTAAAAATGATATTCTGCTCACCTGTAGGAGAAAATTTTGTAAAAACAGTACACCTAACATTGTAAATGTACCTCGTTATGACTCTTGTCTGTATACTCTGTTGCTCCTTGAAGTTCAAATAGAGCCTTAACAAAGTCATATACAGTACAAGCATGCAGGCTCACAGGATGTGCGGCAGTTTGGGTGTTGGTTGGTGATTTAATTAGCTGTGCGTGCTGTCAGTGTGTAGGAGGTAAAGTTGTCAGATTTAAGCCAGGGCAGAGTCGACGTTGTTTATTCCCATTCTGTGGACAATAGATCAGCTGTGAGCGACAGGAGGTTTTCACATGGCTCTCCTGGGAGCCAGCAGGCTGCCGCAGCTTGTTAAACTCTGAATCACTGTGTACATTTGCCTTTCACATAAAAATTATAACAGTTAATTTAATGGTTGGCCTACACGCACAGATTGCTGGTGGTGGAGCAGCTGAGGGAGGCTGGGAGTCTGGTTCTACGACACAAAGTCAGGTCCACCTCCATACTTCCAGGTCCATTACTGGTGATGATGGTGATAATCTTTGGTTACAAATTACCACATAAGGAAAATATATAAATTCTACACAATTCTACACATGTATCACATAAGAAATAAAGAATTTAACCTTTGGCATTATTCTGAACACAAGCTAAATATTTATCTCTAATTCAAGGAGAACTGAAGGTGAAATGTTTGTGTTATTAAATTTTAGATTACTATTTTAACCTAAATAAGATATTAACTAAGACACGGTAACGTTGATGATGTAGCTTAAACATAAGCAACTAAGTTAGCCAAAACAAGATAATGTTGTTGTTGCTGTTTCTTTAGTCTACATAAGATAATGTTGATGTAAACAAGATAATGTAAGAGCTTAAACACAAGCAGCTAGGTTAGCCTAAACTAGATAACTTACGCAGGTGTATTAATCTAACGTAATATGAGCAGCTACACTAGTCTAAGCAAGACAACATTAGCTGCTGCATTAACCTCAACAAGGGGATCTTATCTGTTGTGTTAACTTAAAGTTATGCTAGCTTCAACAAAATGATGTTAGCTGCAATGTCAACCTAAACAAGATAACATTAGCAGTTACGATTAACAAGATAATGTTACCTGCTACATTAACCTAAACACACAACATTAGCTATCACATTAACGTAAACAAGATCATATTATCTGCTATGTTAGCATAATGTTAGCAGCTATGCTAAACAAGATAACCTAAGCTCCTACTTTAACCTAAACAAGACAGCGATAGCCGCTACATCAGCCTAAACAAGATAATGTTTGTCACTACATTAGCCTACATAAGATAACATTAGCTTCCAAAATGACCTTAACCAGATAGTGATAGTTGCTGTGTTAGCTTAAGCAAAGATGTTAGCTGTTATGTTAACCATTTCTGAAATGCAGTGTTTGTACTGTGTACTTGTAATGGAGTACTTTTACCTTGTGATGGAGGTACTTTTATGAAGTAGAGTACCTTCCACCATTGCTGACAGGTCGCTGTTTTATTCCAGCAGGAAGTGTGAGTGGATTTCTGTGGTTGGTGTATTGGTATTTTTATCTCCTCCACTTTATCATCAGTGTTTTTTCTTCCATGTTCAGGGCCATTTAACTTGCTCCGAGGCTATTTCAGATATTGAAGAGGAAGTGGCCTTTACTGTAAATACACCTACAGTCATTTTATCAGTACATACATATATGTACAAACCAAACACTGCTGGCTGATGGAGGTATCAGGGGAAGGGACTGTACCAGGAGACGTGGCCATATCTACGCTCGGTCCCACATGCAATTACTGCTGTCTGCTCAGCTACGACAGTCGCAGCTCATTACTAATCAGTGAAGAGCTATTATCTGGACCCTTGGTGAAAATCCAATGCTGGAGCGCCAATGAAAGATAACTTAACATTGACATTTGGTCCCTGAGTAGAGACGGAGCTGCCAATCAGTCTGTCACTATAGGTGCAGGTAGCCAGAGGCAGGGAGCAGAAATCCCAGCAGGGTTCAAAGTAGATGTAGCGTATAGGTGTGTATATGCACTGTAACAAAGGGCAGGAATATGTATTAATATTTCCCCCTAACCTTCAGCAGAAACGTAAGAAAATAAGAAAAACGACACGTAAATACAACAGATTTCACTATAAAGGTGAAGGCTGAATTTTATATTAATCTGCAGATTATTTTATCAATTAATCAAACACCTGTTTACTTCATAGAAAGCAAAAAGCTGGCATATTTTGTCCTAGTAACAGTCCAAAACCCAGAGGTACAAACAGGACCGTCATCAGAGAAGACAACAAGCACATTTTTAATACGGAATCAACAGATTTTTGTCACATTAGTGCTGAAAAAAAGCACTAAAACGATATTTGTTTGTGATTAATCAGTTCAACTAAAGATCACGATGAAACAAAAGTGATTCTGTCCCAGCGTTATATGATGTTTCACGCAAACTTACCTCATACCTGCTTTAAAGTTTTCTCTATGGGTTTGAATGAGCTTTGGTTGCTCAGCATACCTTTGTAATGACTGATGTGTTGAGACCACAGAGGGGCTGGATGTAGTTTTTAGGACTTTTCCTTAACATGTCAAACTTCTTGTTTTGACCTTCTGTCGTCTGTCTTTGTGTTTTTCCAGGATCCCTCGGTGCAGAAGGTGGGCGGAGGTCGGAAGAAGACGGTTTCCTTCAGCAGCATGCCCTCTGAGAAGAAGGTAAGTGGAATTGAAAAGCAAAAAAAATCAACCAACTTAAAGGAGAAATTCTCCTTTACCTGAAGTAATAGGACTTTGTTGCTCTTTTGCAGTTGATCGATAAAGTTTTTGGTGTTTTTTCTGTTCCAGGTGAGCAGTGCTGCCGACTGCTTGGCGTTCATGCAAGGCGGTTGTGAACTGAAGAAGATCCGGCCAAACTCCAGGGTTTACTGCCGTTTCTACACCCTGGACCAGGACCTGAGCTGCCTACGCTGGGAACCCTCCAAGAAAGACGGGGACCGGGCTCGACTGGACGTCTCCAGCATCCGGGAGGTCCGCACTGGGAAGAGCACCGAGACCTTCCTCCATAACGGACCTCTCTCTGAACACCTGGCTGAGGAAGCAGCCTTCTCTGTCATACATGGAGATGACTACCAAGTGAGAACAAGGAACTAGAACATTTCTGAAGAAATTTTGAGTGTTTCATTGCGGCTTTTGCCGGTTAACATGTCCTGCTATAATTATACATGAGGTATAATTTATATAAGTGTTTTTTTTTTTTTTTTTTTTAAGCCAGCATGTTTTCTGAACCCTGATCAGTACCTTTTAACATCTTTGAGCTTTTATTTTGAAAGTATAGTCTCGTATCAATCAACTGATCAGCTGTGAGTCACTGGTTGCTGACAGTGAGTAAAGCAGAGAGAAGCAGACAGGCAGACCAAGGATTCTTCTTTTACCATGTGAAAACAATCTTGTTTTGAACAAGCGGATGTATTTTCATGCTTATACGGTGTATTATCTAGATTTATAAAGACTAATTGTTTAGAATTTTCAAAAATTTTGGAGCTTCATTGTAATTGGAGTTAATGAGAGTTTTGGTCGGCGCACTCTGTGCTCTGAGAAGATATGTGAAAAAAAACGTGAGCCCTACAGAAGCGAGACTCACACTGGGTGAAAGACGACAGAAATGCCTACATTTTTATGTATAAATTGTTCTTGTGCTGTACAAATGGTGGTTGCGGTCAACTGCACTTTCTTATAAAATATATTTGGTCAAAATTTAAAGTGGATTTTCAAAAAATTCCTAAAACTTAAACTGTGACTGCGTAAATACCATAAAAGATATCAAATCCCAGATTGAAATGAATCACATTTAAAGCCTTGTGACCTGTTTAAACTTTGAATGAAGTGTCTGGTATTAAATCTGCCAGAGCTACAGGGTTTCAAAATGGCTGGGCTTTGGCGGTTGTCTGGCCAACTTCCTGTTCATTTTAATGGGGATTTTTAACCTCTTAAGCTCTTGTTTGATATGTATTTATGTATTTATAAAAATAAAACAAAAGAATAAAAAATTAAAAATATAAAGAAAATAGAAATATAGAAAAAAAATATTAAAAATATATTTTTTTAAAATAAAAATACAGAAAATAAATAACTGATAAAATACAAATACTGAAAATAGTAAAAACTAATTAAAAACATTAACTACTGTGGTAATATAACCCAAAATGTGATGTCCATGCATGTGGATGCCAGGTCTTAAGAGGTAAAGGCATTTTTTTTTTTTACCAATCTAGTAAAAACTGTACGATGAATTGCTACCAGAAGTCACAGCACATTATTCCCAAATGAGCCACAAGTTTTGATATAAGATTTGAATGTGTTTTCTAAAAGCTGCAGGACGAGTTAGGCGCCAAAAATCGTGTTGAAAGAATCTATAAGAACACCCCTGAGGAACAGGAATAAGTGTGCTCAAATTGAACACTTAATGATGCTTGTAGTGAAGTTGTAAGATGAGTCTCAGTAATCTTTACTGTCTGTCTTTAACTACCCACAGTCTCTGGACTTGGTTGCCTTGTCAGCAGACGTGGCCAACATCTGGGTGACAGGCCTTCGCTACCTGCTGGCCCACCCTTCGATCATCGGAGGGGGAGGCGGCGGAGGTGGAGGCGGCACGGGTGAAGGAGGAGGAGGTCTGGCGGTGGACGGTAGCTTGGGAAGCAAGATGAGGAGCGAGTGGCTGGCAGCGGAGTTCGCTCAGGTGGACGAAGACGGCTACGGCATCGTGTCGGAGGACGTCGCTGTCGCCACCATCTGTAAACTGTGTCCCGGCATCAAGGAGGCCAAGGTGGGTCAAAACCTTATTCTACCTGCCAACGCGCAAAGCATTCAAGTGGTGTTGCTGTGCGTTTCAAGAGATGAGATGTTACTTCACCCGTTCTTCCTTTACATAAAGTTGTAGTCTGGGCTGCTTTCTGCAAATCAAGGGCATCCAGCTGCCACACAACACCTCTTAAAACGCTAGAAAAACCTTTAAAGTAACCATTGTGTATGCAAAATGAAAAGATGTTGCCATCACCACGATCTGTAAACTGTGTCCCAGCATCAAGGAGGCCAAGGTGGGTCAAAGTCTTTCTCTACCTGTCAACAGGATTCTATTCACTGTCTACGTAAGCAGCCGTGGGAAGCATTCTGGTCGTGCTGCCATGCATTTCTATGGATGGGATTTTGCATTGTCCTCTACTCATTTAGATAAAGTTTGAATCTCGTCTGATTTGTGCAAATCAAGATCAAAACTCTAGAAAAACCTTTAAAATGACCATTGCTGTAGTAAAACTGACTTATTTCTAACCTTAGATGTTTTGAGAAACACATTTGTTGAACTGAGCCACCATATTGGTCTGGTTTAAAATCCAGGAGCCTATGAGCAAAACGTTTGTCCAATCAGGTGCAGCCAGTACTCGCTTAGTTAATCAATATATGCAGGAAAAAGTGCTTCATCTTTAAAAGAGAGTTCACTTCGACCCAGGAGAACAGAGCAGAGGTGGAACAGATTTGAGTAGCAACAAAGTTTGGTTCTTTTCCATCTTTGTCAGTAACAACTGGGAAATGTATCCACATGTCAGACTTGCCTTGCTTTTATATTATAAAAACCTGCTTTAATCTTCTTTTCAGCTTAATTTGTTGACTCCATCCCTCCGGTTGTAGCAAATCCTGGGACTTGCAGTTTATGTTTTTTGAGCAGCAAAGTTAAAACCGTCTGCTTTCATGAGATTTGTTTCGGATCCTGTGGGATCCCAATGCAGTCTTCTACTCTGCATGACTAAAATTACATTATATCAACTTATCATCCACTCAGAAGTGAACTTCCATTGCCTCCACAATTTCTGAAAATGTCAGCAAACACATCACAACTCATTAACTTTGAACTTTCAGAAAACTTCCACTCAGGCTCGTGAGTACCAGAAGATTGAGCATTCATGTGAAGCCTTAACATGAACACGATGAACATGATCATCACTGTGCAAACATGAATGCTGCACAATTGCATAATGGTGACGATTATAAACTGGTTTTGCTGGATGTATTAGAAAATCTGCAGAGAATTATTACCTGAATCTGCAGCTTCATTCAGCCCTGTGACGATTCACTGTGAGGATTATTTGGTAACAATGACGTAATCCACTGTTGTGGGAACTCTGGGGTCTCCAGACTTTGTTTTTCTTTAAGGAAAACACCACAAAAACCCAATATTCTCCAGATAATCAAAAGGCTATTTTGCAGCTTGTAAATAGGATTATGCAGTTATATAAATGGCTTAAACAGGCAGCAGTATTCACTATATGAGCAATACTGTTCACATCTAAACATACACAAAAATAACTTTCAACATTTCAGACACTTGAGGAGCAGAATATTAGTGTTTCACAAACAGGGCTGCAACGAAAGATTATTTTTCGATTAGCTGTTTGGCCCAGAAAATGTCAGAAAAAACATTGATCGATGTTTCCTAAAGGCCAATATGACCATTTGTTTTGTTCAAAACCCAAAGATATTCAGTTTACTGTCATCGAGGAGGAAAGAAACCAGAAAATATTAAAATCAAAGAAGCTTGTTTCTTTAAAAAAAAATGTCTCTAATAGATTAATCTGCATTTAAATAGCTGGCAGTTAATTTTGTAGGTGACAACTAACCAATTATTCAACTGATTGATTAATTGATTAGTTGTTTGCTCTATAAATCTCAGAAAATTGTCAATCAGTGATTCCCCAATTTCAAGGTAACAAATATTTAATTTTGTCCAAAACCCAAAGATGTTCAGTTTACTATCGTAGAGATGAAAAGAAAGCAGAAAACACTCACCTTTAAGAAGCTGGAGCTACCGAATTTAGACTTTTTTTTTTTTTTTTTTTTCGTAGAGATGAAAAGAAAGCAGAAAACACTCACCTTTAAGAAGCTGGAGCTACCGAATTTAGACTTTTTTTTTTTTTTTTTTTGAAAAATGTCTTAAACCGATAAATCAGTTTTTAAAATAAATCAGTATTAATTTAACAGGTGACAACTTATGGATTAATAATTGCAGCTCTGTATGTTTTTGACTCATAAAGCTGCTCTCTCGCGTCAACAAACCTCAGATATTGTTCTGCCAAAAGCAAAGAAGCACAGCGACATGTGCTGCCGGAATCGTGGCTAAATCATGTCTGAACTGCAGACGACATTAAGTCTCCGTTCACTTCACTCACAGCAGCAGCAGTCTGTTTTCAATTGGTCTTTTTGGAGCAGCGGAACATTTAATCCCTCACGACAAGAGATTTGTTGCTTTTCTGCTTTTGTTAGACAAAAACAGGTCGATTACTTCTCCCACTTGCTGCCTCCTGTTTCACCCTTTAGTGACAGACTGACTGACTCTGCAAACACAGAGGAAGAAATGTGTCAGACAGGTGTGAGGACGACCTGCGAGGACATATTTGAACCCAGGTGATATCAGCAAGGGAAGCTGGGGCAGCAAAGAAAGAGATAAAAGAAAGAAAAGAAATTGTTATATAACTCAATGTGGGCCACTTTTAAGTCCTTATTGAAACTAGATAACTGAATCAAATTTGCCGGCTTCATTGAATGAATAAGTTTGGCTAATTAAGGTCTCGCTTAATTAACTGTCCACCTTTTGTCCTGTCTGACTCTGCTCTGTTTCACGTCTTTCCTCAGGTGCGTCTTCGTTTCAAGGAGATCCAGCGCAGCAAAGAGAAGCTGACCTCCCACGTGACTCGCGAGGAGTTCCAGGAGGCCTACTGCGAGCTGTGCACCCGGCCCGACGTCTACTTCTTGCTGGTGCAGCTGTCCAAAGACCGCGAGTGTCTGGACCCTCAGGACCTCCGCCTCTTCCTGGAGACGGAGCAGGGTTTGTCCCTGGCGACCACCGAGGGCTGCTGGGAGCTGTTGAAGCGCTACGAGCCCTCAGCGCAGGGCAAAGAGCGAGGCCTGCTGGGTCTGGATGGCTTCGCCCGCTACCTGCAGTCCCCAGAGTGCCAGCTGCTCGACCCGGAGCACCAGGGGGTTTGTCAGGACATGAACATGCCGCTGTCCCACTACTACATCAGGTGAGTCGGACAGGATGCATACACATTTTATTGCAATCTGTACTGTTCACTAAGCAGTTTCTGTCACATTTTTAGGCTTAGATTTAATTTTCTTCACAGAAACTGTTTACTAAATATTTACATTTCTACAACCTCTACACTGTACATGAACTGTAGAAAGATGTTTCACTATGCTGAATGTATTTCCGGACAACTTGCTCCTCTCTATACTGTTTTTGAGTCATCCTGCATTTAATTAATTGATTAAAATCTAATTTGTTCCCATACTTGGTTCTTTTATTATTTAACAAAAAATAGTAATAACAAAAAAAACAACGTGCTGCAAACACTGAAAAAAATGGTGGCTTTACATGCTATAGATATTTAACTATTTATGTTTTTAACATGTTTTTATTTTATCCCTTCTCTGCTGAGAAACGCAGTATTTTGTGTTTTTTATAGAATCTGTTTGGTGCAAAGACTTATTTTTTAAGCACATTTTAAAACAAGACAAGTAGAATAAAGTAAAATATTAATAATTTTAGTGAAATATCATGATGTTTGGCTTAAGTTTGCTTTATTTTGCTGACGACACATGACTGATTGTTAGTGAAAGGACTGTGGAAAAGGTGAAAATCTGATGAGCCTGTTGTTTTTATAGTATCTGGTCTAATTGTGGTAAAAACAGCGACACACCTTTCAAAGCCTCTGGTAGGTTTGGACGTTCAAAGGGTTAAAGAGGATTTAGTTTTATCCACATGTCGTGTTGGCTGCACCTCAGAGTCACTGAGGAGCTGCTGTTGAAACACTGCTTAATGCTCATGGCCAAAATTTATATTTATTATGCAGGCAATTTCAAATCATCACTGCTGATTTTGAACATTGCCCACAAACTACTCCACAAAAGCACAAATCAAACAAGCAGAAATCAAAACCTGGAAGAAAACACTGCAGGCCTCCTCTGCAATCAGCAGCTGCTGATGAACCGTGACTTCTTTAACCGAACAAAACAAGGCAGTTAAAGCCTTAAATTATTCATACTCACGCCAAATTTTGATTTATAGCGAATCATGTTACCAAACTTTTTCACAAAGACGAGAGAAAAGAATCTCTGTGGAAACCTGCAGAAAGACTGTTAGCAGTTATAAGAACTGGTTGATTAATGTGGAGGCATAGAAAGGATTTGACACTAAAACTACATCTAAACATATTGGCAGTCATTTATTTTGTTGATGGCACCCAAAAAGTGTTTCAGTATTTCACTTAAAACCAGATAAAATGAGTGTTTTACTGTATTTAATTCAGCATACCTACAGTATCTATAAAGGGTGTGAAGAAAATACTGAACCTGCATTCTGTCTAACAGCCAGCAGGGGGCGACTCCTCTGGTTACAACAATAAGTCAGATTTTATAGAAGTCTATGACAAAATGAGCCTACTTCTCATTTAACCATGACCAAACATTTCCTAATGAGTTTTTTTCTTTTTTAAAGAGATTTTCTTTTTTCTTTTTGCAGCTTGTGTTTTCGACAGTTTGCATAAACTCTGATGTTTCCAGCTGCCATTAACAGACGATTTTCTCTGCAGCACCTCGTATCGCTCCTACCTGCTGGATGACCAGGTCCACGGCCGAGCAGACCTAGGAGGGCTCATCAAGGCGTTGCAGTCTGGCTGTCGGTGCCTGGAGTTGGGAGTCACCGATGGACCAGAGGGGGAACCTCTGCTGGGGGTCGACTATGGGCCGGACATTCCTCGACACCATCACCACCACCACCACCACCATCACCACCACCACCACACCCCGGTCACCATCCGCTCTGCTCTGGAGGTGGTGAATAAATACGCCTTCCTGACCTCCCAGTACCCTCTGCTGGTGTACCTGTGTCAGCGCTGCTCTCCGGGTCAGCAACGCACCATGGCTCAGCACCTGAAGAAGGTGTTCGGGTCGCGACTTTACACCCCAGAGGCCCTGCCGGTCAGCCTGGGGGGCCGAGCCACCACCTTACCCTCCCCAGAGCAGCTGAAGGGACGCATCCTGATCGTGGGGAAGAAGCTGCCTCCGGAGCAGGACGGCTCAGACGGGGAGGTGTCCGAGGAGGACGAGGAGATCGGAGGAGGCGGCCCCCTGGCAGGGAGGAGGATGACCATCCCTGGTGAGGAGGAGCTGGGTGTGGTCCTGGTGGTACCGCCGCCCTCTCAGCCCAGGAAGCTCCGTCTGCACAAGGACCTGTCTGACCTGGTGGCCATCGCCCGGACTGGCAGCCGCAGCTTCTACGCCCAGAGAGCCAGTCAGAGGCAGGCGCAGCAGCAGTCGCCCCCCAGCAGCCCGTCCTCCCCCGGGACGCCGACGCCGCCTGAGCCGCCTTACTGGACGCTGTGCTCGCTGGGCGAAGGAGAGGCCGGGCGCCTGACCAGCGAGAGCCCAGAGGACTTGGTCATGTTCACCAAGCGCACCCTCACCAGAGTGCGACCCAGCTCTGTGCGTCTGGACTCCAGCAACCCCAACCCGCAGGGCTACTGGAAGGGAGGCGTCCAGCTGGTGGCTTTGAACCAGCAGACCCCCGGCGCCATGCTGGACCTCCACCGAGGTCGCTTCTCGCAGAACGGAGGGTGTGGTTATGTTCTCCGACCTGCTGTAATGAGGGACGAGGTGTCATATTTCAGCGCCCACACGCAGGGCTGCGTGCCGGGAGTCCCACCACAAACTCTACGTGTCAAGGTCCAGTTCTGGTTTTTCAACATTCAACATTTCTGCCTTTAGGCTAAACTCATTAATATTGCCGTCATCAGTCCTCCTTGTTCTTTGCACACTCACATCATTTAAGTATTTTCCTTTTTTGTTTACTTGAGCCTTTCGTTCAACTATCTCTGATTTTCTTGAAACTTTTTTCTCCTAAAATATGTATATTTTAAATTACATCTGTGAAATTTTAGATTAATGTATATCAAATATTTTCCAAGATGATTTTTTTTTAAAGAAATTGGCTGTCAACACACTTCCAGCGAGTTTCTTCGTTATGTTTAAACGACAATAACTCAGGAACTAATAAAGACGAAAATCTGAAATTTTATTGTTTATTATTAAGTTTATTCTCATCATGACATTGATTCAGAATCTGCAAATGTAGACAAATAGATTAAAGAGTCTCTGATTATGGGTGAGTTGAAATATGGAAAAAAAAAACAAAACTTGAGCCCCCTTGTAATGTCCCGTCTTCCAGCTCACATAAAAAAAAAAAAGAAAAACTGCTGATAGGGAAGTCAAGTAGTGATATTTTCTACATCAATGTCATGATGAGAAATAAAAGTGAACAAGTCAGGTTTTCAGCCGTTGTTACAAGGAAAATATCAGTGCAAAATAAACTAAATAAGGTAAACTAGTTGTAGATAATATGAAACTTCAGCAGTCAAATCTGTCAAATTCAGTTTCACTTTCTCTCCTGCAGCTCAGCAGAAAAACAAAAAGAGACTAATCTTTGGAAGAAAATTGATTGATCTGGCTGAAATTTAAAATACCTTTTCCACAGAATGTTAGAAAATATGCAGAATGAAGAGAAGTAGTGAACATAGCATGATAAAAGATGACCATCTGTCTTCAGTTGTTCCAAAAAAAAAAAAGCCCCACACTGTGAACAATAGAAGGAAAACTGAAGTTTCTGTGTGTTTTGCTGTTCAGGTCATCAGCGCCCACAACCTGCCCAAGCCTCAGGGTTCTGGGGCGAAGGGAGAAGTCATCGACCCGTACGTGGTTCTGGAGCTGCACGGTGTCCCGGCTGACTGTGCAGAACAGCGAACGCGAACCGCCGCTCAGAACCAGGACGACCCGCTTTTCGACGAGACCTTCGAGTTTCAAGTAAGGTGTTGCTGCTTCTGTAAATGTGACACAGGTTTCAGCTGCCAGTCTCACTGTTTACTGCAGTTTTGGGGAAAATGAAAGTATGGCCACTTCATTTTAATGATTCATATTAAAATGATGATAACTTTATTTAGACAGCACCTTTCAAAAACTACTTTTGTCTCAGAGGCTTTACAAAAACATGAAAGGCAAAAAAACTACCAGACATTTAGAAGGGCTTTGACCTCTGCTGTCAGGCTTGCTCAGTTGGGGATTAGCATAGCAGATATATAGTCAGCGGACTTAAAGGTAATCAATAACGTTTGAGGATTGATTCTAAAAGATAACCAGAGTTTCTAGTAAGATGTTACCGGTGCTTCTATAAACCAGACAGAAGTTTGAGCTGACAGTCTGACTTTTTAGAAACGTTTTGGGGAAATAACATTAAGCTTCAAAGTGTTTCTGCCTGGATTTGATAGTTAATATTTGAAATAATACTAATTTTATTTAGATAGCAGCTTTCAAAAACTAGTTTTGTCATAGAGGCTTTTCAAAAACAAGCAAAAGAAAGGAAATCTCTGCTGTCAGGCTCGTACAGTGGGATCATCATAGTAGAAACATGATCAGGGGACCTAAAGGTAGTTTTAAGATCGATTCCAAAAGGGGACGTGTGTCAGGATGGTAAAATTAGCAATATGTAGTTTTATTTAGGGGCTGCAAGGTGGCTCGGTGGTTAGCACCGTTGCCTCACAGCAAG